CCATGTCATCGCCGTTTACATGGAATATGGGAGCATCCAAAGCTTTGGCAACATCAGTACAATATTGTGATGATCTTCCTGCCCTAGGATCGGTTGTAAATGCGACTTGATTATTCACAACAATGTGGATTGTTCCTCCAGTGGTGTAGTTAGGAAGAGCACTCAGATGTAGAGTTTCATACACTACACCTTGTCCAGCAAAGCTACCATCACCATGAATCAAGACACCCATGTTCTTGATCCTTTCAACATCATTGGAGTAATATTGTTTTGCTCTAGTTTTTCCGACAACAACTGGATCAACAGCTTCCAAGTGACTTGGATTTGCAACCAAAGAAAGATGGATATGTTTTCCACCTCTAGTTGGTCGATCATAGGAAGTACCCAAGTGATACTTGACATCACCGGTTCCTGTGTAAAGTCCAACTTCATCCACGGGCTTTGTACCACCACTAAACTCACTAAAGATCTGCCTAAGAGGCTTCCGAACAACATTACCCAAAACATTTAGTCTTCCTCGGTGAGGCATTCCGATAACTATGCTCTCAACCCCAAGATCTGCTGCCCTATCAAACATCTCTTTCATGCCTGGAATTAAAGTCTCACCACCTTCAAGCCCAAATCTTTTTGCCGTTGTCCACTTAGTGGCTAAGAAGTTCTCAAACTGTGTACTCCATATAAGACGATCAAGAATTACCTCTCGCCGCTGCTGATTATACTGCATTGGTGTTGGGGTCTCGATCTTGTCTCTCAACCAGTTACATTTGTTACGATCTGCAATATGCATATATTCATATCCAACGCTCCCACAGTATGCTTGCTCAAGTCGGGTCAATATTGACCTCAGAGTCTGCACCGGACGATTTTCTGATAAAAAGCCAGCCATCCTCCACACACCAAGGAAGAACTCCCTATCGAGGTCAGCATCTGTAAATCCATAAAGGGCAGGGTCTAGATCATCCGGAATTTCTCTTTCTTCCAAACTTAAAGGATCCAACTTGGCTTTCATGTGACCATTAACCTGGTAAGCCCTGACAAGCAACAACAAACGCATACTCTCTTGAATCGTCTGGCCTGAAATACCAGGAGACGTTGCAGCCTGACCCACAAAATTCCTAAAGAAATTATCCCACGACTCATCAACACTGTTGGGGTCAGCCTCCCAGGCCCTTTGCAATTCTTCCAAATACACACTGCTCGTCCCATCCAGAAAGCTATCAGTTAGCTTCGAAAGAGGCACAGGGCGAGGCACTGGGGCAGATTGTGMTTTAGATTTAAAAACCGTAGTATGAAAATATCGATTCTGAGACGGAAGAATTCGTGATCTTGCAGCATATGATCCTCCCCCCTGTGCCAAARWYCTCCGAATGGCAATCTTTGCCAAGGCAGAACCAGCTCTAAACAACCCCATTCGTACCGATCAAAACTACCAGAAACAAAAGAGGGCAAAAAAAACTGTTCCAAATCAATATTTCTCAGACTCTATACCCAATGGCATGCATCTGTAGGTTCCTCTTGACAATCCTGTAAGGAATTAGATCAAGCCAAAGGAAAAACAAACAACAAAAACAATCAAAAAAACTAGCCGTAATATTGGAAAGGGAGTTGATATATAGAACAAAACATACCGAAATGGCGAAGAAATTCGAAACCCTTAATCGCAGAAAAGCGATGCTGCGTTCGCTTCAGACCAAACAACCCAGCTACGCTTTTTATTCCTTTTCTTTATTTCTTTTTTTTAATTATTATTAATTTTTTTTCTTTTTTACTTTTTGGTTCTTACAATTTTTCCCCTTCGGCGAGCCGTTGAATTTTCCTCTTATTTTTAAAATTTTTTAAATTCTAGTCTTCTATCTGGGGTGGGCAGTGGGCCCCCACTCCCATATTCTGGCGGTGGGCCGAACGAAAAATTTGGACACGGAGATATTTTCCTTTTTTTTTCTTTTTGCATAAGACAATATTGAAAAATTATTTAAATTACAAAATCGGGACAATATTGAGTATATTACAGACTACAGTATCTATTTTATTTTAACTTTTGAAGGTTGGAATTTTTACTCCCACATCCTCATTGTTTACCATCACTCTCAATTTTTTTTTTTTGTATAATTTATATAAATACAAAGAAAAAACTAAAACAAACATTTTGGAGGACTAATTAGGTTAAGAAATTGAGTGCAATGTGTTTGTCCATTTAAACCCATTTTATTTTGTACTGAAAAAACGATTTTATTTTATTACAAAATAAACGCATGAATTTTTTTGTTGATTAATTATTATCTATCAAAATTATAATAATTGCAACGTAGATAATGAAACTATCAAAATTAAGAATGATAATAAGTATTTTATTATATGAGATCTTTTAAAGTAATCTTACCTAATTTATTAATTATTCTTTGGATACAAAATTTTTATTAATTAGTATATGTATTTAAAATATAAAATTAACTGTTTCAACTTTATTAGTTAGCATATTATTTGAGATATAAAATTAGGCATTTCAACCGTTCATATTTAACTATATTCTTTTTTTTTTTTTAGAAATGCCATTTAACTATATTCTAAATATATATGTAGCTGACAATAAATTGTTTATATTAAACTCTTTCAAAGCAATTTTAAACATAATTTATTAGTTTTTCTTTTGGTACAATATTTTTATTAGTTAGTATATTTATTTTAAGATATAAAATTAGGCATTTCAATCATTAAAAAAATGTTAGGAATTTTTACTTTATTATTTAGTATATAAAAACAAAATTAGGCATTTCAACTTTATTTGATAATATACCCAGCATATCTATTATAGAAATAAAATTAGGCATTTCAATCACTCAAAAAAATTTAAAAGCTTTTTATTATTATCAATTAGTATATAAAAAATAGAAATTTTAACTTTATTAGTTAGATATAAACAAAATTATATAAGTACTAATAAAAACATTTATGTACTAAAAAAACATTTAGACATTTCAATCGCTTAAAAAAAATAGAAATTTCAACTGCTATTTATTTAAAAATTAAAAAACGTAAAAGGCGCCGTCTGTGGGGATCGAACCCACGACCACGTGGTTAAAAGCCACGCGCTCTACCACTGAGCTAAGACGGCTTGTTTGATGAAAAACAATTTGCATTTGAATATAATATAAAATTGAGGTTTATTTATTTATACGCACTCTCTCATTGTGTTTAAATCTTTAAGCTAAAAAAAAAAACTGTTACCCACATAATTATTTATTTGACACTTCTCAAATATTACCATTATTTATTTATTTATTTATTTGAGTTATATCCCCTTATTAAGAAAATTCCATCCATTGAGCTAAAGTTATAGTTTTATTTTATATATTATGTGTTTTTTGTCCTCATGCAATACAATCATTAATCATACAAAATTTTAGACAATTTGTGAATATGGTAATAACCAGTATCCATACTAAGTTAAAATTCGACCACCTCGATTTTCTTTGTAAATTAAAAATATATATATATGGGCGGATAACCATTTTCATTTTGTTTTTTAAATTTACTTTACTGATGACCTCTTTTCATTTTTAAATTTATGAAATGATGAATATTGATTTTTAAATGCCAATCATCTTTATTTTTTGTAAATAACTTATAATTTACACTTAAAATTAGTTTTGGAAGAGACAATTCCTCGTAAGGCAGGTATCAAATGACTCCTAAATATCTCTTTTAACGTTTACCAAGCRAACCTTTTCCATACAAGGGCACTTAAAATTTTGGTTAGTTTATTAAATATTTTTAGTCTATTAATTGCTAAAATTAGCACATATGTATGTMAATTAAATTATAATAATTTAAATTAAGAGGCAGTATATTTATCTAATTATCAATTCAGCATCACACGCACCAAAACCTTCCTTATAAGTTAAAATATTCAAATCTTCACCCCAAAGTTTCACTATATTTCTTATTTGAGAAACCCCACAATCTCAATATTGTATTCTAGAAATGTTTTTTTTTTTTTTGAAACACTAATAGTAAAATTGTATTTATATTGAAGTAAATTAGCCTTAAAGATTTTATTGAAGCAAATTACACTAGGAAAATCAATTACTCCAAATATGCATTGCCGGCATTCATCTCCAACTTTTTAAATAAAACAAAATGGTGAAGAAGAAAAAATTTAAACTTCTTACAAAAAATTAAAAGATGTTGGTCTAAGAAATTAAAAAAAATGTCGATCTAAAACTAATATAATTAATCGTTTAAATGAGGTAAAACAGTAATATAGTACGATGAAGAGTTTGGTAGTAACTTTAGCACACTAAAAATACATTTTAAAATTTTAAAGAGTGAGCCTTTCACTRAAAAACAAATTTGTCAAAACCGTCCTCAAACTCACTGCCAAGAATTAAATTAGAGTGCATTCCAAATAACTTTTAAAGAACAAAAAAGAATCAGTCCAATAAAAATACTTTTCAAAAGTCAGTCTCAAATTATAATACTCAAAAAGTGCCTTTTCCCTGAGTGCTGTTAGAAAAAGGCCTTCCTCAATGCTTATTTCCAAAAGTCTCAGCCGAAAGCATTTACCCATGTGAACCACCGAGTGATGGCATTGGTGAACTTGGGGATGAATGGAGATATCCCTCCTCAATTCGAGCTTTGCAGGGCAGTATCCGAGACTTCCCCTCTCATTTGGGGACGAGTCCCAAAACGTCGGTTACAATGTTATGTTGCTGTCAACACTCCCAGATATCCAACTGACGAAACCACACGGCATCGATTCCRAGATTAGAAAAATGTATTTACCCATGTGGAAACACTCAGATTATTACTTCACAGAGAAGCCTTTTCTAGAGAAACAAACAACAAAGTGGCATGTTACTTCAAGACAATGGCAAGTGGAGTACAAGATTTGTGGTGAAACACTCAAAAAACAGAACTACAACCCCTCCCACTCCCCTCTCTTCACCAAACATTATGAGATATTAATTGCTGGTGAAGAACATTATGGAGATGCAACCACATCTCTACAAAGAACAGCGTCTTCGATAGATGAACAAGAAGAACATGCACAATCCAGATAATTGGAATCATCTAGCATAATAATTTTAAACTTCAAATGCGAGAAAAGTAAATGATGGCGCCTATGTCTTGAAAATCCTTACACTAAGAACATCTTACAAAGTAGAATCTAAAATATTTTCAGGATAGTGGATGCTAACTTAAAAGTAGCAAATGTTGAATATTAGAAACCAAGGTTTACATCATCTACCATGTTTTCTCAAAGAAAAATCATCTACCATGTCTTGGTGACGCATCAGCAGAGCGGGACCGAGACCCAGATGGGGATCTCGATATTCTACCAGGAGAAGACCTCCTGCCTGGGGAAGACCTCCAATTAGCTCGTACATCCCCTCCTTCAAATGCAGACTTGCTACAAATAGAAAAGAGGTTGGTTGACAAATAAATAAAACACAACGCAAAGCAAGCATTTTAACCACCATGGTAAACAAAGATGGCAAGAATAAGCAAACTGAAAGAGAGTATCAACCATGAGACCAGGGTATATAAAAGGGCAACGCATGCAAAACAGAGAAACTCTAAAAATAGTCACATCTTAGAGATGCTCCCCAAAACCAATAATGTAAAAATTGCAACCTGGATAAAAGTGGTGTGGGAGGGGGAGGACCATGTTGCAAGAACATTGAAAAAAAAATACAGTCGAGCAGATCCAAAGTCATCAGTAAATCATTCAACTTACTCGTGATATCCGTTTCCATCGTGATCATGGCCATCAGCATTATCATAACCTGGAGAATAGGCCTGCTGACTCCTTTCACCATCTCGCTCATGAGGCGCACCTCTTGGTGATCTGGGGTAGTCTGCGTGTCTTCTACTAGGGGAAACAGAATAGTCACCTCGCCATCTCGGAGCAGGAGAGTAGGACCTGACAATTACATTTGCATATTTACTACCTAAACCATAATAAATATGAACATTTTGAAATAAATGGATTACCTTGATCGATATCTACTCCTTGAACCTGAAGGATGATGGGGGGAGCGTGATCGGGATACTGAACGTGATCTAGAACGCCCTATATTATCARCAAAATTTCAATTGGTCAATTTCTGCCTGAAACCATGTTGTCGTTGAACACGATAATCTAATATGGACTTATTTTTACATGTACGTTTAATCGCAAGCTATAATATAATATCAATGAACAAGATTTGTATATGGACTTATTTAAATGTACAGAGATTTTTATTTTTAATTAAATAAATTACCTGCAAATTCACAAACTTATGACCTAGTGGAAAAAAATGAATTATCACATGCTTATATTTCAAGCTAATAAATGCAGCTGCAAATGGATGCCCAAATGTAAACAAAAGGTTTAGAAGAAACAAGACTTCCAAACAAAAGCACTCACACTTGGAAAAGAATGTTTGGAGGAAATAGGTCAATCAACTGCCTAAATTAATATGCATGTGACGAGCTCCTTGGTTCGATACAAAAAAAAGTCGTTTATAGGATGTTAAATGACCACTTAGAGATTATCATTAACGCCAATTAATTTGGTACATAAGTACATGAATCTTAAATCTCAGACTCTCAAAAAGTCGAGAGAAATACACGTCCAATCCAACAAATTGGAAATAAATTCCATATACTACTGCATCGCAGCTACAAGCTATAGTGTCTAACAGTTTCATAACAAGAAGTAATGTTATAGTCTTCTTGAACAATCAAGGAATAGAAGTAACATGAACTAAAAAAATCAGAATTAGAACATAAGAGGTCTTCTCACTGAACTTTTTTTATTGGGATTTCACTTGACTACAAAATTATTTAAAAGGTGCATAAAATTTTTTAGAGAGACTACTTTTACCCATACCATAATAAGAACGCCGTCCACCATAGCCAGATGGTCCCCTGAAGAAAGGGGGAAAAAGAATAGTAAAATATAAGCAGGTGTAATTAAATAAACATCATGAAAGGCTATTAGCCATTTGCCCATAGAGAATGGCAAGAGCAAGAGGATTGCTTTCAGTTTAACTTTATGGTAAGTCAGTCACAATGCGGAAAAGAATWCTTTTTCCCAACGAACAAGAACAGATATGATTCAAGCCAAACAAGCATGAAAGTAGATGCAAGGGAGTCTGGATTGTAAAATTACAGAAATGAAGTTTGTATGTGAAATTACAGTCACTTGAAAGTTGAAACCATTGAGAAAGAGAGGTCAAAGATAATACAAACTACCTTCTACTCCTTTGACGCATCTGTTCTGGCCTCTTCCTTGACTCTGCAGCAAGGACCACAGTAATCTCCCTCCCAGCAAACTTTTTCCCATTCATATGATACTGAGCTTCAGAAGCCTCGTAAGGATCAACAAACTCCACAAATGCAAATCCTCTAGGTTCACTACAAATAATTCAAACAAAATTTTCATAATGAAAATAAGGAACTCATTCTGGACAAAAATCTTGGTAACTTCACTGACTAATTAAAAGTTGTATACTTTTCGYGTCCAAATGAATTTGGGATACCATAAACTGAATAGCTTTCTTTTCACATCCAATATCAACTTCAGATTGCTTTCATCTAAGCTGAGGCTGAAGTTACATAAAGCAGCTAATTTCAAAGTTTAGTAGCTAACCTTCTCTTTACAATCAAGCATGAAAGAGGCAAGTGACTTGAAAAATCTTCATATTCTTGTAACTAAAGCACTTCGATTCAACATCACTTGACTTGAAAAATCTTCATATATCTTGATACAAGTACTTGAAATCAACAATTCATGACTTGAAAATTCTTCAAAAACTTGGAAACACATGAAGCACTTGAACAAACATTCCACAACCTTAAAACCTTCCCCTTGTTGGCTTCAATTGCTCAAGATTCTATCGTCTTCCTCATCAACTTCTATTGATGGGGGTAATTATCTAATATCTCCTCAGAGAGAGACAACCTCATTTGGATATTACTCTTTACATTCTTGACGAGCAATATGTTAGGCAGTGAAAAGTAGTAGACCCTCATTAATATGGGGCTGGGCTTGTTTTAACTTCAAAGTTCAAACCAAAATGCCCCCTGACAAAGCAGTTCAAAATTTAACACACTGTGAAATGGGAATAAAATTCACCCAGAAAAAAAAAGGTCTGGTGAAACTTCATTTGACATTTCTCATCCTCTTCATTCCCTAACCATGAATAACAAATTCTACCGAATGTCGATACGATCTAAAAATTTCTTACAGATTTAGAACTCAGTACACTGTACACCTCAAGAATTGATTAAGTTCAAAAACAGTCGTAACAAGGCCCCCTTGAAATTTTCGTATGAGTTTATTTCATATTGCATATGCAGCCACAAAAGAGGTATTTCAATAAGAAGAAAGTTGACATTGTTCTGAAAATAGAATCTAGACACGCAATGAGAAAATCTGTAAAATGCATTCCATTTATTTTGACTTTCAAGGATGATTGGTCTATATAAGAGGCTGATTATGACACATGGCTGAGAGCAACAAACAAGGGTAAGAACCAGGCTCAATTTCTAACGCAAAAGACTTGGCTAAATGCTTAATCAGTAAACCTAAAAGTTACCACCTGAACCCCTTTGAGGTTAATTTGATTTTATCTTAATGAAAATTGGTGCTCATAAACCCAAAGGAAGATGTGTCATTATCGTGTTAACTTGAAATGAATGTAAAACTCACGTTTGGGAATCAGGTTGTATCAGCTTAATGAACCCAATAACATGCCATGGTTGGAGTACTGTTAAACATAAACAAACACAAGATGCTTACCCTGAGTAATAATCCTTCGGGATATACACGTCACGAACAAGTCCAAACCTCTCAAAGGGTGCTCTAAGCTCCTCTGGCCTGCAAGTATCAAAATAACCATAATTTCCAAGTTCTTGAGAATCAATGAGAAAAAACAAACAAATTCATAATTAATAGWGCCCAAATTCTCACCTGCAATCCATAGGAATATTTCTAACCAAAAGGCTACCATGAGACTGTTCCCTTCGTCTTCCATACCCACCACCACCACCACCACCACCACCATAACCCCTTCCCGGGGGGCTTCTTCCTCGACCACCATATCCTCTTCTTGGAGGACTGTGATAAGGTGGACTGTATCTCCTCATGTTAAAACCTGTTAAAAACAATTACCAGGTGAGGTCGGTCATAATGAAGACGCATTTCGTCAAATCCTCCTTTCTATTCATACTAATACCCTTCTAAATGCATATCATCCTAAACTGAAACAGCTTCGACTGTTAAACCCCAAAACCACAYTTCACATGCTCAGGATTCCCTATTCAACTGCTAATCCTCTCAATTGCCCGTTTCCAAACTCCAAATAGCTAAGCTACAAGATACATATAAAAATCTTGGAGATCACAACCCCAAATAAAAGAAGCCCAAAAAGAATAACCAAGTCAATGAAGAAGGGATCGAGAGGGTTCGACGAAAAGGCTCCTCTCCCCACTTCTCCCAAATTTTAACCGAAACAAACGCGAAGACTTGATTCAGACAAAGAGTAAACCTAGAAAGTTAACTATCGAATGATCGAAACAAAGAAAGTGGCGGTGAGTATCGATCGGCTTCATGTGGGTTTGAGGTTCGATCAAGAAATTATGCGAAGTCTCCATCTATACATCAAGAACCGAAATAGCGAAAGCGTTGGATTACCTGAACAAGGTAAGRGAAGGATTTACGAGAAAATGCGCAGAGAGCTTCGTCCCTCGATCTGACTTCTGTAAACTCTGCGATGGTAGGGTTTAGTTTTTATAACTGAGCTTCGTTTCAAACGCGAGTTTTCAAAAGAAAAATAAACCGTACCGCGTGTTTTTTTTTTAATTATAAATACTATATTTTATTTTATTATGATTTTATAGTTTAAATTCTCTATATTTTGTTTTAATTAGTCGATTATCACGACACATACAATCTTTTAGTTTTGTTTTACAATATGATAAAATAAAGTTTAATGAATTTAATTAAATTAACCTACAAAATTATAATATGGTTTAATTTTATAACCAAATAGCTATTAATTCTATTTAATGAAATTCAAACCGTTACCTTCAATATCGATTCTAAATTGTAAACCTTGTGAAGACTTTCCTCAAAAAAAAAAGTGAAGATAGTCGGATTCAAATCTTTGTCCCTCTRATCCGTTAAAAAATAAATAATTAATTAAAAAAATTAATCTTGTGAAGAGTTATTTTTATCTTTTAATATAATTATCATTTAAAAAAAAACAAAAAAGATGGATGTAATAAGCTTACAAAATTGTTCTAGATGGCCTAAGAACAAAAAAAAAAAAAAAAAGAAATCGTATAAAATGATTCAATGTAGTAGTCACTCTGTGGATGCTTCCGAGGATATGGTTAAACTATAATTTAGTTTATCTCTCGTACATCCAAGAGAATAAAATTGTCAGTTACATAGGAGTCAAACCACCGTCGAATATTGATAAATGCACACAACCGCTATCGACACTCCGCCGTATCTGAAATTTAGCTTCATGACCATGTACAACAACCAGTGAATTTAGAGTGTAGAACAAGCAGACCTGGAAATGCTGGCTGCTGTGGCTGCTGGCTGCCTCCATCCTTCATATCCATCTCTATCAAGCTTCCTTCAGGTGCCTTTGTCCCACAAAAAGGAAAATGGTTCTCCAGGTAGACAGAGAAGGATCAGGTGTATGCAACATAATAAAGTTGGTCGAATAGCATATAGTTAAGAATTTTGCGTATCAACAAGCCATAGCTACAGCTGATTCGTCGGACCGATTGCTGTCAGAATCGGCAACCAAAGGGTCCTTCTGGAATTGGTTTCTTAGCTGACCACAAGCTGCATTTGCATCCAGGCCTCTTGTTTGACGAACGCTTACGGTTATTTTACGGGACTCTAGAGCAGCTACAAATGCMACCACCTGAAGATAAACGAAAAGATCATTGATCAGTGAAAAGTATACATACAAAATCTGAAACATTTTCTTCTTGATACGTGATGGGAAACAGCACATCTGTTAAGAGCATCTTACTGCTTTCTTATATGGGCGCTGATACTCAGAGCCTTCTATGGGATTGAAAGGTATCAGGTTCACGTGATAACCGCGCCCCCATTCGTGGAGAAGCTTTGCAAGTTCTACGGCATGCTCTACTGCATCATTGACTCCGGCTGTTCGATTGATAAGCACCAGAAAAATCAGGGGGGAAGAATGTCATGTTTTGGAAGCCCAAATCTTCAACGAGGAACACAATGGAAGAAGAGAGAGGGATAGTGGTGCTAAAGTGAACCCAGTACCTAAAAGTGCATACTCAAAGGAAACTCTCCGACTAGTTTCGAGGAAATAATCACGACAATCCTTCATAATCGCTTCGAGAGGATATGCTTTTGCACTGGGCACAATAGTCTCCCGAAGCTTCTGGTTTGGTGCATGTAAGCTGATGGACAGAAAATGAAGAGTTCATAGAAGTAAAATTTAAAAAGAGAGCCAAAATCTAAGGACCTATCCTACAAATGGTCATGGGCATCTCTTCAAAATAAAGGATTAAAAGTATTAAATTTTGCTTTGGAATGGACCATATGGTTTGAAAGATTAGGGAGAGAGAAAAAAATTGAGAGGCCAGAAAAAACTCATAAAGAACATTAGGAAGGGGTATGCCTAGTAGGCTAGTACAATCTCTTAACGTTTTTGTAGTTATTCCCTGATTATGATTTACAATAATTGGAAGTTGGAACACCGTTCTGTAACATCCTATGCATTTGGGAGGATTTCTCACCTCTCCCTCTTTTGCATGTCTTCTCCATTAATTAAAAACATTTTTAAAAAATAGTTATAATCAGTGAGAAATCAGTAATCTAACTGCTAAATAAGTAAACAGAATTTATTGGGACAACCATAAGAAAGCAATCAACCACCGTAAACATAGACATCTTCACTCAGATATTTGGAATGGCAAAATTTTGAGTCGTAACAATAAACTACACCAAAATTCTACAATTCGCACAGTTCTTAATTAACTGCTACCTATTAAAAATTTAGGGGTGACAGCATAAGTTGGCTGGAAAGAAAAGACCTACACTCTTAAAATGGACGTATATATCACAAAGCAGTACATGAAAACTAGCAAAATTTATCCCTTGGCAAAATATCACTAAAAAWGACTGAATTTTTTGTTTTCTGTTTTTGATTTAATCAAACAATCTATAATATTTTTCCTGTTGAGTATATATTACCTGACAGCCAATGTTGACTGAAGCTTGTGAGACGCCAACCTTTTAATTGTGTTAGGAACACCCACAGTGGAAATCGTGATCATTCTTTGTCCAATTTGAACGTCCTAGAAAAAACATAAAAAATTTCATGAGAAATTGCAGACTCGGCACATAAAATTAGTGTGTAATGAACATGGTGGAACCTTAAAGCAAGCCTTCCCATGACAGTTTCATGTGATAACATTTTATTATTAAAAGATAATAATGACATAAGAACCTTTATCTCAAAGTGGACAGGCATGATACTGATAGAACCTCAAAAAATATATGGGGTTGTTTGGGGATGATCTAAAGACAGTTTTGTGCTTAAATGCACCAACCCAGAAGCTTGGGAAGGCATAAGGATGGATACCCAAAAAAGGAAAAAAGAAAGGTTTTCATTTGGTCTACCCTCTGGGGCGGTTTAGTACTCAGGAAAAATGCCAAGCAATGTCTCCTTATCTCCTGGATGGGTTCTCTTTGCGTAAAATGGGATGACTCAAATAGAATACCTATATCTTGGAATTCAATTGAATCTAAGAATCATTCYACAATAAGTTCACACTTCTATAGTGTAATCTTGCTCTTTCGCTTGGTTGCTCTTAGATGTGTGAAACGCAATTACCTTGTAAAAAGAAAATTTAATACCCTATGGCTTAATGCTATTAGAACTTTTTATGAGATATTTGGTTAGAAGAAATAGAAGAATTTTTTATGTGGTGCTTGATGGATATATTTTTGGGCCAGATCTCGGCAACTGTTGTTTTTTCCTCCTCTCAGAGCTCTCTCATAAGGTTTCTCATAATTATATTTTAATTTTACCAATTTGAGAGTTTTATTGTAATGCGGTATTCTCTGGGGGGCCTTTCCTTGTGTATTTCATTCTTTCAATGCAATTGTTTTGCTAGTGAATGAAGAGTTTTGCTYTCCAGGTCCTCTCTTGCAGTGTATGTACCGGAACCGGGTAAAAAGAAAATATAGAACGGAAGAATAACAAAGGGGAAAAGATCAAATAGTACACAAAAAATTACCCCACAAAATGTTAGGATAAATGAGTCTTGAAGAATCAACCTTGTTCAAGCACTGATGCGCTTCAAGCACCGATTTCATATTTAACATTGGCTCGCCCATTCCCATGAATACTACATTYGTCACCCTATGGTTGAAAATATCCTCAATCGCAAATACCTGTGTATATAAAATGCAACTAATCACAATGGGGAGGATTAATTACACCTGAAATAATTTCATTTATTCAAATTTCTAAAAATCAATGAGATACTAGAACAGAAAAAATCCATAACAAAAACACGAAACCAAAATGTAAGAGATATAAAATACCTGTTCAACAATTTCATGTCTCTGAAGATTCCTTGAAAACCCCCCTTTTCCAGTGGCACAAAATGAACAGCGCAATGGGCAGCCAACCTTAATGTTTCAAATTCAGTATAAATTTGATTTAAGATTGAACACCATAATGAGTTCAGACAATCCCATTTCCCAGGGAACAGGTTAAAAAATCATTGCAAGTGCTTTCAAAAGACATATATGTACCGTAATTTCATCTATTGGGCAATGTGGTTATTTCTCAAGTATACATGGGGCTAGACAACTACCGGGTACTACATTAACGCCCAATCACTTTACTAAGAAGAGAAACACTCTGTGACCAAATCATAAACTAAGATACATTGATGAAAATGTAAATGACAGAATTCACGTCTCTGAATGATCAAATATGAATATTACCTGTGATGAGATGCAAGCAGTAAGGCGAACTGAACCTTTATTGTCTTTGTCTTCCACAGGTATGCCAACGGTTTCAATCAGCCTGTTGTCGTCCAACTTCAGCAACAACTGCAAAATTTAGACGTATGGATGCATTAAAGCCAAACAGACTCGTGTACAAACATTCAACCATTCACTTACCATGATAAATTTAGAATAATTTAATAAGAATGCAAACAGAAAATAATTGAAACAGTGAACAATTGCAATTCAATTAAATCAAAATCGGATAAAGCAATGAATGATCTTAATATCAAAGTACCTTAACGGTCCCGTCAGATGCAGTAACAGACTGGTAAACAGGAGAACGGCCCACCCTCCATCCAGCTTCCTGAAGACCATTCCTGAATGCCTGTGGCACTGCAATCAACCCAAATCACCATAACAGACAGCAACTCAATAACAAGATAAAGTAAAGACAGACCAAGTTAATCAGAGAAGAAGAAATAATACTGACAGTTGGTAAACTCTTCAATTTCCTTGACCTTCCTTTTATAAATGAGCTGGTGGAGTTGCTTACCTCTATACTTTTCCTAATTCATCCCAAACAGAAACATCTCCAACAATTTAACGAAACAGAAGCGAAAAGGTCCACAAAATGAAGCCACTCATTTGCGAGCAATCCAGGCTTTTAGACTAATACAGTCGTTTATCGTTTGTTACCTGGCCGAAGTCCAAAGCGAGCTGTTGGAGCTCCTGCTCCGACAAGCCGATGAGCACTTTCGAAGCTTCGGGAGGGGGGCGTGCGCGAGGGGATGTGGACGTGGAGAGGTTCCGAGAGGGCACGGCGGCGACGCGGCGAGGCCGTACTGCGCGTGCGGCGGATRTGGAGCATACATGGTGAATGAGCGCCATTGAAATGGCAATCATCTTGTGGAACTGAGAGCGGATGCAACTGAATTGAGAAGGCCAAAACTTAAACCCAATCTGGAACTGTTCTGTCTCCTGGGGTTTTATTTCTTCCCTTCAAATTCGCCTTCGAAATATATTATCTTACTTTTTGTTCCTTTTTCTTTTTTTCTTTTTTTGCTTTTTTTCTTACTTAAAAAAAAATAAGATAGTTGGAAAAATAGATTTCGTGTCTAATAGGGTTTAAATTTGAAGGGGTGTTTAATAAGTTCATAAACTTTCGTGGGAAAAATTACCTTGATGGTTGATGCGCGATTCTATCTTGTATGACATATCAGCAAGTGATCCAATATRAATTCTGATGTGGGTCTAACTCACAACCGACAAACAAAGCTTTCACCAATTTCGAAACTTAAGTTAGTACTGAGTTCGAACTAGCGTCGAGTTGAGTTGAGTTTAATGCAATAAATTGCATAGCTTGAGAARGTGGCACTCCACCTTCTATGAGGGAGTGTTCAGTGTTTGTACCTATAATCCAACAAGCAATCAAAAGATCATATGCCAACAAAATTGATATTCTACCCACTATTAGCAAGTTTTTTACTTGTCAAAATATTCTACAAATCGAACTTGAGCTAAACTTTAGTTTTGGACAGCATGTCCAAATTGAAGTATGGACAGATGCAGCTCCAAAGGAGGTCCTTGTTTGTGCTTGGTTTGACCCTTTTAACACTAATCATGTAGCCAATTGCCCTTTATTTTCGCTTATATTCGTATAACATGATATAATAAATACACAATTTCTAACATAATTTACCAAAAACATTAATTTAAAATATAAAAATGAATCAAAGTTTATGTTGTCCTCCCCGATACAATCCAATCCATTACAATGACCAGTAAATTTCTCTACAAATTCGTTTAAGCAACACTAACAAATTGAAAAGTGAAAACTGTCTGGTGTTCGATTGCTTAACCTGAAACTCAAAACATTTGTGCATGATTAGTGACAGATCCATAATTTTTATTCGAAATACTTCATTTAAAATTYAGTAATAATTTACAAGTATGTAATTGCAAGAGTTCATAAAATGAAATATAATTTATAATTAATCTTTGAAATTGGCAACGAGAATCATACTAAAGAGACTAAAAATGTATACATTTAAACCAATTTTATATTTCTTAGTGAAAAAGAAAAAACTAGGTTCAAAGTAATATGGTAGGAATCAAGCTGCACAAAATAAAAATAATAAATAAATAAACTTCACTGAAAATCTACGATGTCTATGATCTAGAGAGTGAGTACTTTTTAAATAAAGAAAAAAATACACTTTTGGTCCCTAAAGTTTGAAGTAGGTGTATACTTGGTCCTCAATTTTCAAAACGAGCACTTTTAGTCTCTGAGGTTTGGTGAAGGTTTCTATTTARTCCCAAAGTTTCAAAATAGACATTTTTTATCCTTAAAGCTTGAAAAATAGTTATAAATGGTCATTTGACCGTTAGTGGCTTTCCATCCCTATTTCTTTCTCTCTCTTTCTCTTTCTCTTTATTTCCCATCTCCGACCAACAACCGCCGACCATTTCTATATGTATAGATTGATAAACTAAAGATGGACCAAATATGTTTATGAATTATAAATATTAAATTGTCATATGATAAAATTTGACACTTAATTTTAATAAAAGTTTTTACGATAGAGACTAAATTGTTACAAATTTTAAACTATAGGGACTTAAATCGTTACAAGTTAAAGTTCTGTGTCTAAATTGTTACTTTAGAGAAAGTACATGGACTAAAATGTTACCAACTGAAGTTTAGTGACTAAATTGTTATTTTGATGAAAAATACAATGATCAAACGTGCTTTTTAACCTTATTAATAAAGAAAAATAAAATTACATAATTTCAACATTGGAAACAAATTATTAAGAATCTTGTTTTAAAAATATACATACACAAAATTTTGAGAATTTTTATAAAATTATTTTAGAAACAAGCAATAAAAAATAACTCTACAAAGTATTTAAGTTTTTTAGTAAAATTGAAAACTACAAGTAGAAATAGAAATGCCAGTGCACTACGTATCTACAGTAAAAGGAAAAAGAATAAAAGGAAGGGTTCCCACTTACACCATTACTCACGCGTATCAGAAGAAGTGTCCAACACGCTCCAATGAGGGGTAAAACTGTAAAACCACGGATCTCTTTTATTCGTTCCGGGCCGCCGTAAAACTCTGGTTCGGCCTCCTGCCAACCTTTTTTGACAGTCGATTTATTTGACCACCATAAATAAATACTTGATTTTCGATTTATAATTTATTTCTCGTGTACGTTTAACAATTAAATWAAATTAACATAGCTCACGTTAATTGTCATATACTTCAAATTAAGAGGTTATGAGTTCGAATTATTTCTTCAATATGTTGTACTAAAAAAAATTTAATCATGATTTCTTTCATTATACTTTGTTCAATCTAAACATAGATCAACTTGTTAATATTCAACTATTTATCTCCGACTAAAATATCATAAGTTTCAATTTCTACCMTCAAATATTGTATTAAAAAATATATATTTTACAAAATGCATGATTAGGATATCCAAGAGGCAAAAAYAACAAATTTTTAAAACGAACAACATTTTTTAGTTCTATCGTTACTAGATAAAACATCGAATTATCAACTTTTAAAATGGCAATAAATAGTTTACTTGTTAAACTGTATTTATAGTGAAAAAAGTCACTACTTTCTCAAACTTTTAAGTTTTAAATGAGCTATTGCTATTATTTTTCAATTTACCTATACATATTGTATGTATCMATTGATGTTGCATGAAAAATAGTCGTAGTATGTACTATCTATCATTTTGTTGTTATCAGCCACAACATGGTTCATCTATCTTTTGACCATATGAAGTTGTATTTTGAAATTATTTTATATAAGAACTAAATAATTTTGTAGTTCAACAACACAATATGGAAATCAAATTTTAAGCTTTAAAAGAAATAGCATCTAAATATTCTATTTTCTACGAGATCATCTAAAGTTGTCATCTAATTTTACTATTTCATCCCATAATTAAATAATCCAAAAATCTTCAACATCACATTTAGATAGAGAGAAAAAAAAAAGGGACACCAATTACGCTTTGAATTTATTAGAGGGCAAAAATGCAATCTTCTCAAAATAGCAAATCTCTAAATTTAACCCATTTATTACTAGGACTCCGGTAATAAAAAAAATGTGGAAGGTTAATCTTAATCTTAATCTTATTACAGCATCCAAATCACTGTCCAAATTTAGCTCAGCACAAGGAAGGAAGGAAGGACGGAAGTGGAAAAAAAAGGAGCGGCTGTCATCTTTCGATCTTATCCTCACCCGCGACTTCTTTTTTTACCAACACGCCGTCAACTTCGCACTCTCAGATCTGATGACATGGCAGAATAACATTGGTCCGTCTCGTGAAATCCAACACCCGCCGGTCAGCACCACCACCTTCTTAACGCTTTCGCTTTTTTTCCGTGTCATTTTTGTCTGTATAAATATTCCCCTGTTTCCAATCCGTTCCCAGTGGTCTCTCTCTCTTCCCTCAATTCTCCTCCGCTGCCGTCCGGCCATGGCCGCCGCCGCAGCCCTCCGCCGCATCTCTGCAGTACTCCTCCTCCTCCTCCACATCTCCACCTCCACCGTCTCCATCGGCGTCAACTACGGCACTCTGGGCAACAACCTCCGGCCGCCGGCGGAGGTCGCGAACTTCATCAAAACCCAAACCACATTCGACCGCGTCAAGATCTTCGACGCGAATCCCGACATCCTCCGCGCATTCGCCGGCACCGGAATTCTAGTGACGGTGACCATCGGCAACGGCGATATCCCCCGCCTCACAGACCCCGCCGCCGCTCAGCAATGGGTCGCCGCCAATATCGTGCCGTTTCACCCTCAGACGCGCATTAATTACATTGCCGTCGGAAATGAAGTCCTGCTGATTACTAGGGATCTCGTTCCCCAGCTAGTTCCCGCCATGAGATCACTTCAACAAGCTCTTGTACAAGCCGGAATCACGGACATTAAGGTAATTTGCTTTAGTATGACCTCTCAATATAAACGGTTGTAAATAACGCTAAACTAAATTCAATGTTAACATAAAAATATTTTAATGGTCTGCCTATGAAATTTGAATTCACATCATAGATCTTATTGAACTCGAAACAGGAAGAAGAAAAAAAATTCAGTGATTTTAAATAAACTCCTTTAATTTGTTTCTGATGCTACCAGAATACAATACATTTTGATCCCAAACTTTTAAAGATTCCCAACAAGATATATATGTATACTTTGTTACAATTTTTCATTTTATTTGAAACGTAGCATAATATAAATATGACTTTTCCGTACAAATATACATATTTGAATTAGATTTGAATTATGTTATTTCTTATATATAAGAAATACAAAACTATTTAAAAAAACTTTTAAAATAATGTCCATAAGAATTGACAATACGTTTTTGGGTTTTCCACCAGGTGACTACCCCTCAGGCTCTAATTCTACAAACTTCAAATCCGCCAAGCGCCGGTCGGTTCTTTCCGGCCGACGCCCAAGCCCTGTTCACACCACTGCTTCAGTTTCTACGCGAGACCAAGGCGCCGTTCATGATGAATCCTTATCCATACTTCGGAATGTCGTCTCCAAAACAGTTGAATTTCGCCCTCTTCCGCCCCAACCCCGGCCTCTACGACAAGTTCACCCGCATCACCTACACCAACATGTTCGTCGCCAACATGGACGCCGTCTACTCCGCCATGAAAGCCATCGGATTCGCCGACGTGGACATCGTCGTCGGCGAGACCGGCTGGCCCACCAGATGCGACGGCAACCCTATCTGCAGCCCCGATAACGCCGCTCACTACAATCGCCACTTGATCAACCTCGTCAAGTCCGGCGAAGGCACGCCTTTGATGCCGAACCGCCGATTCGAAGCCTACTTATTCGGTCTGTTCAACGAGAATGTTAAACCGGGCCCGGAAGCCGAGCGGAACTGGGGCTTGTTCCAGCCGGATTTCACTCCGGTTTACGATGTTCCAATCATTATGCGCAATGGACGACGGGTTCGTTTCTAATTCGATTTCTATCTCTTCTATTATTGGACCGCCTGAACCGCCTGCCTTAAAAAGCAAAGGTCGAAGCTTTAGTTTGAGTTAATTTAACCACTAAAATTTATTCTAATTGATCTTCTTCCTATTGATCAAGGTTCTCTCGATATTCAGGAATTGCCCGATCTAATTTAATGGGTTAAAATTAGATCTGACTTAGATTTATCGAATGAAATTGAATTAGTCCAACAATATTTTATTTTTTTAAATACTTTTTAAAACCAAAATTTTTAATTTTTGAATTTCTAATGTTTTTACAATTTTTTTCTTAATGATTATGTTTTTAGTTTGAACCAGGTGTTTACAACCTAATTTTATTTTAAAAAAGTATTATGTGAATATTATGCAGTATCTAAATGTATATTTTGGAGTGATGATATAATTACTGATTTTTTTAAAAAGATTAAATATAATTAATTTTTCAACGTACTACGTCAAAATCACTCCCTTCACACAAAAAATTTCTTGGATCGACGAATTAGTTAATCGGGTGAGATTTTACTGTTTTGCAGCGCAGTGGCCGAAGAGGCGGCCGGGGGAGGCCGAGGCCGAGGCCTAGGCCGGTGGTGGCGTCGTCGGGAAAGAAATGGTGTGTGCCGAAACCCGATGCTGCAAATGATGCGTTGCAGAATAATATAGACTATATTTGCAGCTTGAATACCGTCGATTGCCGGCCGGTTCAACCTGGCGGCGTGTGTTTTCAACCGAACGACGTCCGATCGCACGCGGCGTATTTGATGAATTCGTATTACCAAACCGCCGGCAGAAACGATTTCAACTGCGATTTCAGAAGCACCGCCGTTATAGCCACAGTCGATCCAAGTAAACGTTCCTTTTTCTTTCATTTTTTATTAGATTTTTTAATTGAATTGACTCGATCGGAATTTTACGGAGTAACCACCGTGTGCGGTGGCTGACCGGCGGCTCTTTCTTGTGCAGGTTACGGCGGATGTAGGTATATTGCTTGACAGATCAAGCGGAGGGAGACGGAGGAGGGATTGGGTTGCGTACGTGCGGGTGCAGGAGAAGAAATTCTGAGACCACGCAAAGGCCAAAATCAACGGAGCCTGCAAATACCTTTTCTATTTTATTTTCTTGTTTTTTTCCCTCTATATGCAATGATTTATTTTCCATATTTATTTGATTTATTTTTTCTGAAATCAATATTTGTTGTAATTAAATCGATTTCTTATAGAAAAAAGTCTTGCTATAATTTTAACAAATGGGATTAGTAATTGCAAGAGTTTTCATTAATTATTCTGAAGTTAATTTAATTTAATTTAATTTATAATAATTTTGCAGTATTATTTTAGAAGCATTTTGATTACTTGAGATACAATCTAACGATAAATTAAAATTTATTGTAAAATTTACATCAACAATTTTTTTTTTTCAATTATGTAATATAGACAAATAACTATAAAAACAATGCAATTATAAATTTCATAATGAGTTTGATTCTAGCTCAACATGAACGACAATAGCATACTAATAATACAAGTCATGAGAGAAGTATTTTCTAATAACAGGTAAAAATATGGCTTTTGAGGGAAGGAACAAATGACAAAAAACAATGTTCAACATGAAAAGCAAAAAAGAAAATTTTGTCCTAAAACAAGCTAGCGAAATCATGAGACAATATATAACATAGTTAATATGTGTATTTTTAATAAATGTATTTACTGTTTAGCAAATTAGAAGCAATAACAATTTTACAATAATTTAATAAATTTTGATATTTATTTAATCTCTCTCCATAAGTTGCAGTCATTTTTGTTTTCTAAATTTAAAAAAAAAAAACCAAAAAAAAGTCCATCTATATTTGAAATAGGGACTTCCCTTTGAGAAGAAAAAGAAAAGAAAAGAAAAAGAAAACTTCATTTTGTTGCCACACACGCCAGATTTTATTAAAAAGAAAACAATCAAAATTATGGGATTTAATATATATATATATTTATTTATATATAGTTGAATTGGTCGAGCAATTTCAAACTATATTAAAGAATTTAGGTTTATATCTATTGAAATTTTAAAATTCTGTTACAAAAAATAAAAGTCTCTCTTATATTCATAAATTAAACAAGGTAAACAAATATAAGTTCATTATAAATTCTCAAGGTTGCGTACTCTAATAGTCTGTAAACTTTAAAAAATGTGTGATAGACTTCTAAATTTTTATTGTCATCTCTAATAAGTCATTAATTTAAAAGGAAAAATGTTTTGAGTATGTTGTTAAAGTTTTAATTTTGTATCAAATATTTGACCTATAGATACTTTTCAAAATTTAGGACTTTGAGACATATTTTTAATGCTTAAAGGTAAAGATTTATCAGACATAATTCAAAGAAGTTAAGAGAATAAGTTTATAATTTAAAAATTAATATAATGAGAATTTACAAAAAAGGTGAGGTGAGGAATTTTTATTTTGTTTTTTGAAAATCAAGTTTTATATTTCCGTTCGGTGTTTTCTTTAATATTATTTTGTTTCGTTTTTGGGATTGTTCTGAACTTTAGTTTGAAGATAAAGTGTAAAATAAATAAAAATTTTTGATAACNTAAAAACAAAATCTTCTAATTTTCATAAATGAAAAAATTAGACCGTTAAATTTTCGTTCGTGAGTGAAAAAAGTAAAAAACTGCACTCTTAAACTTTCTACTAGTTATATATATATTATACTTTACTAGCTAAAACGTTAGTAACGTTTATTAATCAGGTATAATATTTGAATTCACATCCTAATTATATTATATTAAACCAATTTTGTTTAGTTTAACAATTGTGAGGATGAGAATTCGAATCTTCAATTTTTTAGTCGATGATAGATATCTTGACTAGTTGAATTATGTTTAAGTTTGGGACAAAATAACTCTTATTAATTGTCCAATCACATCATAATTTTATAAAATAATAAAATACTACCTACACATGCAATGCAACACGTTTGATATTGCCTTTGGATACGATATGCTTTAAAATTATATCTATAATATATATAAAAGTATGTGGAATAAACTTTTATCGGACAATTTTAACCTTGGCTTTTCTATAATATATATACTATCCTTTTATTAATTAAAAAAAATTAATGGAAATTCACCCACTAACAGTGACCCATGCCCATGCCCATGCCCAAAATCATGTAGCCCATAGTTTAGGGAAAAATAAATTATTACCTCCTTCATTAATACCTACAAATTACTGCCAATGTAAATAGCTTCTTCCTAACCTCACTCAGTACTAAATAGTTAATATCTTATTAAAATTAAAAAAAAAAAAATAAAACTTGACGTAAATCTTTAAATATATAAAATTTTCATACTTAAATACATGACTTTTATTCATTCTCAACATTCTCAATTTTATAAATATATAAACTTTTCATTTTCTCACACAATTTTTACTATATATATAGTTCTAAGTTTGTCAATGTCATTTTGAATTAAAAAAAAAAGAATTATCAAAACTTATAGTAATTTGAAGAATAATAGAGATAAATATAAAGCATGAATCCGTTCCATTGATGAATATAAGAAGTAAAATATTTTCATAATATTATTTTTCTATTAGTTTTTTCACTTTATTAGTTTATATTTTATATCAGTATTGTTATGATTCTTGTTCTTTTCGAGAAACTGAAATCTAATATATGATGTACGATGAAAAAATTGAAAATTTTGAAACACATCTTCTGAAAAATTGATCATATATTTCATTATCAAAGAAATTGTGAAACTAACTCGTACAATTCAACAAAGAGGTTGAATTGTCTATATTCAATTAAACCAAGTAATTTATTAACAATTTTACTGATTTTATGAATATATGCTAACTCTTTGGATAAAAAGTAGACAATAGACATATTCGATTATTTCATTTTAAATATTATGGTAGCTTTTTAATATTTAATGTTTATTCATTTTTGTTTGAGAAAGAACTTAATGTTGTCCATTCTAAAAAAATCTACTAAATGTTATTAAATTAATTATTATTTTTGGTCGAAAACATGTTTATTTAAATAATTTTATATTATTTTATAGTTAATCTTAAAAATATTTTATTATTTTAAATTTTGATGCATGCTTTTAAATTTGTATATTTTAATTTTAGTTAAAGTATGTTATGAATATTGAATGCCAATGCTAAAAGTTTGTTCAAATGTTTTTTTAATTCAAATTAGAAATGTGTAAATTAATTTTAATTTTAATAAAATATAAATTATATTAGATTAACTAATAATTGATAGGATTGATATGGTAAACTTATACATGAATTATCATAAAAAAAGAAAAATTAAATCAACTTTTATATCTATAATATTTTAGTTCTAAGTATTCAAGTGAAAAAATTAGATTAAAACTATAAAATTTGTGTAATTTATATATACTTTTTTAAGTTACGAATCCTAACTTCTTCCTTCCACCCTTACACATTTCTCACATTCATATAACTGACTTTAAAAATTAAAATACTAGTTAAAGAAAAATTTGAAATGATATAATAATTATGATAAGGCTTCTGGATATATTTGTAATATATTATTATAATTAAATATATAACTTTTTAGTAAATATTTACATTATTTTTAGTTTCTCTCCCATTATTTATTTTTTTGAGGCACTTCATTTTTTATTTTCTTATTATTATTATCATCTTGAAAATAGGCACTTATTCTCTTGTCACACTTTCCATAGGTAAATTTCTTTCGATTTAATTTTTAACTTATTTCCAAAGGCAATTGCTTCCGTAGCATAGTGGTAGTGCGTTCGAAAGGTCATGAGTTCGATCCTCGTCGGGAGCTTTATAAAATTATAAAATCTAGGATACAAAAATGTTAATATAAATAACAATAAAAAAAGAAAAACTAGTTTTTTTTTAATAGAGAAATTTTTGGGAAACTTTGTTTTTTCCACTATGATTTCTTATGTCTTCTTTCGTGCAATCATGTTTCTATACTCAGTTTTTCCCTCCAAAATATTCATTAATAACATGAAATCAGATATCATACAATAATTGATGTATATTTTAAATCAAGTAAATTATGATCTTCGTTTTCAGTCATAGAAACGATAAAATGCAAATTGCTTCCCAAGTGCATTTTAAATAATGACAATAAGACATGATAATAAATTAATAAATAATAATCATGAGAGACTTTTGTCTGAATAAATAAAATAAGTACCGGGAAAAAAAAAACTACAGCATAACCAACTGTGGCGAAAATTACTTTATTAAAATAGACAATTAAAGAATAATAGCAAATCCATCCACAAGATTGTAAAAATTATTGAATTTAATTGACATAGAATATATTAGAAAATCAATAATTTACAATGTCTTTGGAGTGGGAGAATCGAACTCATTATCTCTTTATCATATATATATATATATATATATATATATATATATATATATATATATATATCTTTTATCGCTGAACTAAGTTCACATTGACAATTAATAATGGACAATTAATTTAAATTATGTTTATTAGTTAATAAGTGAGGTTAATATGGATTGTTTTGTAGTATTACCCTTCAAATCCTCAGAAAATTTAAACCTATAATCAAATGCTACTGATGTCTTAACCAATTGAACTTGAAACAAGATTATGGTAGACCACAACATTAATTACAATAAAATTATATATTTTATATCCAATTAAGAAAAACCAATTACATGATTGTAACCAAATAACCACATGAACATAATTCAACGGTGAATATTATCTACTCTAATAAATTATTATTTACCATGTTTAAATCTCTCCCCTCTTGTTGAATTATAAAAAAAAATGATATTATACTAGTTAAAACATTAGTAACATTTATTAATTAATTATGTATAAGGGTTGGATTCACACCATAATATTATATTAAATCAAATAATATTCCACTAGTTTAAAAATAAAATACAAAATCGATTTTCTGACTAAACCAACCACCGATCGGTCAGCGATACCACGTTGATGAATTTAGTCGGTTTCCATTTTTTTTAAACCGGTGAGTCGGTTTCTTACCGTGGTTTTGTAAAAAAAAAAATCGGATCCGGACTCCTATCGTTTATATGCAAATTTCACAATTTAGTTTTTAATATATCTTATAAAGAAATCGCGTGCGTCTAATTGAAAGGTCGTAAGTTCAATCTCATCGGGAGCTTTAAGATTTAATTTTCATTATTTTAATTAATGAATTAAATACATTCATCTAGAAAATAATTAATCTATATAAAGTAGAAAATTAAGTGGGTTGAACTGGTTATACTATTGGATAAAAAATGTCACATTTTAAATTTATTTCAATCCACCTTCTAACCTGTTTTGTTAGGTAATTGCTTTTGTAGCATAGTATAGTGCGTTTGATTCGTAAGCACAAGATCGTGATTCGATAATTTTATTTTAACATTTAAATAAATTATAATTTTTAGATTTACAAATTGGTTAAGCCATATATTTTGACATTAATTGTAGAGTGTTATTATTTATACTTTAATTTGTTTTTGTAAATTAACATTTTATTTTACAAAACATCTGCTTCCGTAGCATAGTGGTAGTGCATTCGCTTCGTAAGTGAAAGGTCACGAGTTCGATCCTCGTTGGGAGCTAATTTTATATTAATAAATTAATATGTTTGGTTTAACTATAGAATTAAATGCCTCCATTTAAAAAAAAACAATTTTAACCTTTACAAAATTACAACATGTAAGTAAGGATGATAATTCCAACAACTAGTTGAACAATATTTTAATTCTTTCAATTAACTTTTTAATTTACTCTACAAGACATTTCCTCACGTATCATAATGATAGTACATTTGTTTTGTAAACGAAAGGTTGCGAGTTCCATCCTCGTTGGGAGCTAAATTTATTTTCAATTATTTCATATATTTTAAACTAATCAAGTAAATGCCATTTTTTTCCTTTTTTTCTTTAGTGTATACATCCATCTAAATGATATAAAATTAAAATTGAAAATGACAGACAGCTTTCAAGAAAATTAAAAAAGAAAACTGAAAAATGACATATCTGAAATATAATATAATCTATTAATTTTCAAACCATGAATATATTGTTATTTTTCTTTTTTAATAATTTCAAAGACGCAGCACAAAATTGAAAATGA